ATAATGATTCAAATTATTCCGCATTTGCACCTGATGCATCGATTGCGAAGAGAATGAATATTGGATGCACCAAAAACAAAAAACAAAAAACCAATCTGGTACAAAATTGACTTACCGGCGGGAACGTTAATAACGAAAACAATAATTCGAATAATTGTCAACGATAACTTATTTTGGAATAGATCATTGGACATTGTCGACACCATCGCGCTTTGCAGTGTATCATAAGCACTGCATGCCAGGGCGACGGATAAGATTATCACAAAGCCCACCACCCAGTCAGGCAGTTTGGCAAGCAACGAAAAGAATGCGAAAGCTCCCACATTGTTTTCATCACAGCATAATCCCGCCCAAACAGCAAGCAGGCCTGTCACTCCAATGAGAAACAGTGTTGGGAATAACATTACACTTGCAAAAACCGTAGCTTTATATAATTCCCGATCATTTTTAGAAGAAAATGCCCGCTGCCAGAAGCCCTATGAGAATGAGTTTCGTTTCTTAGAATTAATCCTTAAGTATAGAATTTAATTTACAGTTGTACACGTTACGATTATGTTATAAGTACCTGGTGGAAGAAGTTGGCAAAAGTAATTGCAACAGCGAGAATGTAAAGCAGTTGCCAGCCTAAAGACGTAGATTTCAAGAGACCAGAATCGTCAATGGCATGCTTATCTATTTTGACATTGACTGCCACGGCAATCGTAGCAATGACCATCAAAATCAAAATTATCCAGCCTTGAACAGTATCGGTAAAGAGCGAAGCGCGAAAACCACCATATGCTGCAAACAACGAATATGAGAACAAGTGACAATAGAATCTCAATGTCAATAAAATAATTAAGTGACGTCATACCAGTATACAAGGTAGTGACGACAGCGATGACAATAATTGGTGCCAATTTATCCAATCCAGCCAAGTAGTAAAGCACCAATGCAATTGATGACAACTCAGCAACCATATAACAGAACATGAATGCCATTGACATTAAAGACACATAAATTTGGTTGATCCGATGGAATCGCACCAGGATAAATTGCGTCAAAGTAAAGCCTTCTGGACATTTACGTCTTATTATAGGCCCAAGCCAAGCAAAGACAAGTAATGGAATGGTACTAGTAAATGCATACATGAATAAACCCAGAAGTCCCGCAATTGTAGCAAGTTCTGGGTAAGCAAAAAGTATAGATGATCCAATACCTAAGAGCAAAGAAGTATTTATCATAAATCAACGCAAAGCCATCATTACCCAGCCCCAGTGAGCCGATCGTAAGAAAACAGTTCAAGATGCAAAAACTCAATACAAAATGATCATAAAATGAAGCGGCAGCTTCCCTACGCAGGTATTACCCTGATCAGGTAGTTAACGGTGCTTTCTCAGCCCAGTCCTTGTGAATCAACAAGGACTGAACACCCGTAGTGCCGATTCGGAAAAAAAATAATTAATAGTGATAAAGTTCCAAGTAACACGTAACACGTAACATGCTATACTGCAACACACAAAAAAAAAGCAAAGCAAAAGTCTAAAGAACGCTTATCATCTACTGTTTTCGTGGTGCAGATACTTATATAATGCTTATTTTGGCAATAATTTTAATATAACGCGTCACGTGATACTTGGAAGGCACGTTCGCTTTCCGAGTTCATAGCACGTTACCTACTTTCGGGTAATACGAAACCTACATGCTGCCGTTTCTTCGTTTCAGCTTAAGCGTCGAATTTATTGGCCTTATACGCAAACCACTACTCACTTGTGGTGAAGAAATTTGCAGCGAGCGGAATTGCACTTTGGGTTCTCAGAGCAGCAAGGAAGTCAACTTTGGTTCTCGCTTGTCTATAACCACCGTATAACCCAACACCCAAGAACGATACGAGGGTGATATAGACGAGGACATTACTGACAGTCTCCGAAATAGCCATTCCTTCGCGTAGAATAAAAGTAAAGAGGCGGGGGTGATGTAAGGGGGGTTTTTTTTTGCCCAGGCGACTTTATATTAACCAATTGATCAGATGTGTTGATGAACACAACTAAATTATCATATAATCAGGGTTGGATGGACACAATTACATTATCACACAATTAGATATCATCTAAGCGGGGCAGCGTCCCCGAGTGGTTTGTCATATCTAATCCATATTCGGTGCAACGAATGACGGTTGAACTAGAACATTTGGATACCTCCATTTGGGCAAGCAATTTCCGAACATATATCGATCGTATCAGTCTGGTGACTGCTTCTTCCTTCTTCCTTCTCTTTTTACTTTTTTAATAAGTTTGTTACATAATGTACAAGTTTCGAATTTTTGTCTGTCGATCCTGAGCATGCTTCCCCCACAGTATCAAACTCTTGGAATCCCCACACAACTAGATTTATCAATCCTCATCAAAATCAAAACACTACTGCATACAACGTTTTACGACCAGTCCCGGAAAAAACGTCTTCACACGGCCCATTCTCTAATGACCCAAAAGTCCATTCATCCAAGCGACTAAATACACAAATAAAAATTAAGGAGATCAGAATAAACCTAATAACTGCCTCATGAACCTATCACTACAGTCAAGTATTGTTCATTGTCAGTCTGTAGATATAATTCCGTCAATAATTATACCGAGCGCCAAATGTTCATACATCAATCCGTTTATTATTATCTCCTATGTCTTTAATTACTGTTGCGTTGGTGTCGGTTCGGGAGCTTGCATTGCTTCTGGGTCAAAATTGAATGAGGAGATCAGTAAGCCACCCTCACAACGTAATTCAGCATGCTATATGAAAATATTATTTTCATATAGCATTTTATCTGCCAATTCTTGCATATTACGAAGCATACAAACCCATAGGTGCACCTTCACCTTGTACGTGATACTGTTCCATCATCATTGGACGCTGGCCCATCATCACACCGTTTGGAGGAACATGTGCTACCATTTCATGAGGATAGCGCATCATAGGTGGCATCGCAACTAACACCAAATAGCAAGAGGTAAGTGAGCATACAATACTACAGTAATCTTGTTGGCAACAAGTAAATCCTACCATGCTGTTGATAAGGAGGATACATCGGAGGATGCATTCCAGGAACCATTTGCGTCCTATTTGGAGACGGAAATCCTTGTGCGCTAAAATGCTCTAAACAAAATTATGTCATATTAATTGCCCGGCAAGTTTTTAATAACAAAGCTGGCGGTGTAAGACAATGTTAATCAATCACTTACGGGGGGGCATTCCGGATGGCATCTGTGGATTGTACATCACCTGTGGCGGTCCGCCTGCTGCTGGCATCGGAGGCGAAGTGAATGGCACAAAATGCTTACAAGACAAAAACCGTGTTAGTGTATAATTATAAAAAGAACGTACAACGTCTCAACGCGTATCTAATACCCAAACATAACTATCTTATATAATCACTTACCCCTTGTGGCATATACATAGGCGCTTGTTGCATCACAGTTGGGGGAACCCCCACATACTGTGTTGGATATCTGAATTGCGGACTGGCAACCGCATATTGGAATCCAAACTGAGAAGGCACATTCGGTGTATACATGTCTTCTTCATATTGGCTGCTAAAATGTAGTCGGAATGGCCGTTGTCCAAATGGCCATATTGGTGCTATTAAATATTAGCGTATTATCAATAAAATTGTATATTATGTTTAGTTTGTTTACGGAAGACAGTCTTCAGAGTTATTGCGTTATCCAGGAATTGAAATTGCTGCTTACGAATGGTGCTAGGATTGGCAATTGGCTTGCTCTTGTGGAAAGGTGTAAAGTTACCCTGGAAGGAGGTGGTAATTCTTTTCAATTGTCGTTGACTTAAAAATGGTGACTATTAAATGTTTAAAATAAGAGGCCTATTGAGTCACGCTTGATAACATATCATGTAAGAACACACGCAGTCTACACTTACAGAAGCGGGAGACTTGTTATGATCGTTTGACGTAGCCGACGTGGGAACAGTCTATATTCAACAGTATATATCATGTGTTAACGTACAATCACAAAACCGCTTATTCGGTGCGGTGATAAGATAACATCAGTTCCTAACAACACCCACCGGAGTAAATGATGCAGCATTCGGATTCGGCTTCCAAGTTGACTTAGAGCTAGTTGTAGTCGCTCTTGAAGCTGTACCTAAAGATGACGAATTCGAACTTGTCTTCTCCGCGTTTGTATTCTTCTCAGCGCTGTTTTTATTTTCCCCGCCGGTATTCTTGCCATCTCTATCAACAGTCTTCGATTTATCTTCATTTACTTTTACAGTGATATTCAGCTTCTTCACATCTGGCTTCTGTTCGGTTTGGAAAGGGACATTTCCCTTGTGGCTGGACTTGTCTTCTTTTTTAGTCTTGTTGACATCCTGAGGTTTATCTCTCTTTTCTTCGGATTTGATGTCTTTGGATCTATTGGCATCAGATGTAAGTTTATCATCCTTCTTCTCTGAATTCTCGGTATTTTGGTGGTCTTTTTCTGGGGGTGTGGTTGATATGCATATGGTAGGTTGGTTGTTAATGGTAACATTTTTGGTCGCAAGTGCTTGGCGTTTGGCTTCATCGTTCGTTAATATAGGAATAAGATCTTCCGGTGGTGATGATTTGAGCTGCCAATAAATTTATCGAAGTTATAACATTAGTATGAATGAAGTGTCTCAAATGCTCAAACAACCTCATTTGACACATTTTACTTTGCTCACCTTAAAAGCCATCCCCCACTTCTTTAATTCTGCCACCTTTCCATCCATTTCCTTTTGGAAAATCGCCTGCTTTTTCTGCTGCAATCTCTCCTTCTCTGTATTGACAAATTGCTTGAAAGTACCAACAATTTCCTTTTCGATCGGCTTACCCTGACCCTCAATTATTTTCCTATTTGCCATCTGCGAATGTGAGTTGAAATACGCCACTACTGGTTCGGCAATCCTAAATTGTGCCAACGAGTTAGGGCCATTAAACGAAGACGCTTTATTACTACCAGGTGGCACTGCGGATGCGCCAGGTGAACCAGATTTTTGCTCTTGGAGTGATTTTTTAGTTGCCTCCTTTGCCAAGTCTTTAGCAATTTGACTAGCAGACGGTTCAAGTTTTTTAACAGGGGTGGGAACAGGGGCTGGGACTGGAATTGGGTTGGATTGTTGGGGAGACAATGGAATTAATGGTTGCGTTGGCGTGCGTGGAGATTTTGAGTTCTGGCTCTGTGATTGTTGAGCACTAGATTGTGAAGGTTGAGATTTGTTTTGGTTTTGAGCTTGTTGTTTTACTTGTTGTTGTTGTTGCTGTTGTTGTTGTTGTTGTTGTTGTTGTTGTTGTTGAGAAGTTGGTTGTTGAACTTGGTTATTTTGTTGCAATTGCTGTTCTTGTAGTTTCCTCAGCGCCGGCGGCATGTATTTATTAGGATCCCTATTACGTACAACCGCACCATACCTTTCCTCTTCATCCATTTGACTATCGTCAATCAGAACTCCGCGCTCTTCGAGTACATGTACATTAGTAGTTTGTGTTTTCGTGATTTCGTTAGCAAGCTGAATTGCTTGCCTTTCGCGTTCTTTGAAATCAGCTTTCGATCTATCTAGTTTAGTTGTGTATATTTCTTCATCAAAGTCCGTTTTCAAGCCAAATAGTTGTTCGTTCGCTGCAAACTGATCCCAATTGCCATTGCCCGCATCCAGACTGGGTTCATCTTCCAATCCAACCATAGTTTCAGATCCGACAATGTCATCTGGTGTCCATTTGTGCAATTCTCTTTCGCGGATTTCGGTGCGTCCGCTAATGTCGGTATCTATCCTGAATCCTGTCAGGGGGAAGCATCAAAAAACGACGTCAATATTGGTACAAAAGTCGTTACAGAATTATGTTAAATTACTTTCGACAAGCTCAGGTCAATTAATTCGATTGAGAACTCCTGATCGCATACCTTCTCGTTCATTATTCGGTTTATCGTTTGCTGAAAGGTCTATATTTGCTGCATAGATATCCATACAATCTTTTGCAAGTATAATAAACGTCGACAACACTTTTCCTTTCTTTTCTCCTGGCTTTGATGGGAGTTTTCGTGCAAATTTCAAAATGACGCCCATATCTGTGTCTGTACAGGCTGTATGAAAGAGTCCTTCGTATTTTGTTCCATCCTTCACAGTGACAACGACGACCTTACCCTGTCATTTAATTATCCAATATGTGACGTTAATAATAATAATCAATATCAATTTAGAGCACATTGACTTTTACTAAGTCACTTTTCCCTTCCCGCTCTCTCCAATTATAGCAGTATTATTAACTGCCTTTTTTTTTTTTAAATTTTTATGTCCCCCCTCTATGTCATGCAATTCATTCGATCTCTCCGTGCCTCTTTCCCTAATACTTATTGCATTGTATTTACCGCAAACAGAGTAAGTAAAAATAGCACGCGATCATGCATGTGTTTTGCTGCTACTGTATCTTCCGGATAACTGTCAACTTGTTTTCGAACATTCTGCGTTGATGCGATTGTTTGAGCATGGTTGTGATGTGAGTTAGGTGCTTGTGTATTGTTAAGCGGTTGATTTCTTGTAGAAATCACCCCATGAGAATTGTTATTACCCCATCTGTTTTTTTGATTACGGTTATTATGACTGTTCATTATTAAAAAGGTAGAGATTCAAAGGTTGTTAATTATTAAAGCACAAAAACCATTCTTTGAACAACAAAACACTGGGAATCATGTTGTTCAGCATAATAAAGTGTTATTCTACATCGCCAGTCAACAAAAAAAGGCGTACCCAGCATTAGAGCCAGAATAACCAAACTCCGGACGACGTGGTTTTTGCTGTCGCACGTTTGTCGAAGCCATTTTGAGTTATATTTTTGTTGTGATTGGTGAGGTGGCACTACAAAGTAGAAGTGCAATCAGTTAATTCCGGAGACTCTTCAAGTTGATTATCTATAGTCGCACATTACAAACACGATTAGTTACTAACAGAGAGGTTCTTCCAGCGAAACAGTAACCTCGATTAAAGAATTTAGCTTTTATGATATCTCGGAACCAAAAGACTCCGTTATTCTCTTCTGCAAAGACAAGACGGGAATACCGTGAGCGCAATCAACATGGTCGTAGTATGGCACAATCACCAAATACCCTCTCCCAGGCCCATTCTTCTCCCCGTCGCTCTCTGTGTTACTGCTAAAAGTCCTATATTTTCACCTAGTCAAAAAAACGTGTACTAACCGTGTGTATTTGAAACAGCGAGAATGTTTTGTTGAGACTACTAAAAGGATGAATATTTATGAGCCTGTCAACGTGATTGGACGACATGTTTGAACGATGACCGTTCCGAGTTTGTGGTTATTATGGAGGTTTTGTGTAACGTATAAGTTGCATAGCATTATTGATGCACAGTTTTAAATTTCGCGCGCTCTTTATTAAGCGCTAAAGACTTTGACGCACAATTTGGTTATAACGGTCCCTTTGTGTGGTAGGGGGACGTTTTAAACTATTTTTTCCATAAATATTTTTTGCCAATATTAATATGAACTCTGCCGTCTGACATATTGGTGTTGTTACTGTTATTTGGTATAATCGTATTATTGAGAACGTTGCTGGGATTTCATTCGTACAACTGATCGCTGCAAACTTTAATAAGTTCATATTCAGCATATGCCGAAAGCTAGAGATTACCAGACTGAATTTCTACCATTAGAGAAGATATTAGAGATCATGGTGAACGCCAGTTGAATATTTCCAATCGTAAGTTTATTAGTTGTTTTCCATCGTATTTATTCGATCCTATAAGTATTATTCCACCGTAAGAGTTATTCCATTATTCTGTTGGCAACTTTAAATAATAATATAAAATAATAATAATAATAATAATAATAATAATACAAAAAACGCATTTTATACTATTCTATACAAAGTAATAATAATAATAATAATAATTAATAATTTATGCTAATTTATATATATTTTTATATATATTTTTTATTTTTTTACTAATTTTTTTGCTATTTTTCAAATTTTTTTCTTTTTATAATTTTTTCTTCGATAGGAGTTTCACTTTTTCTTTTTAATTCTTTTTTTAAATCGTCAGCTTCCTTTTTCCACTCTTCTTTTTCTTTTTTCCATTTTTTCTCTATATGTTACACCTTCATCCAGTAATTTCTGTATTCTTCTTCCACTTGTTCTCGTTCTTGGGCCATTTGTTGTTTCAGAACCTTAAGTTCATTCTTGAGAGCAGTGATTTCTTCCATAAAAGTTTGTCGTTGATTGTTGAATTGTTGTTGGCGCTTCTGGGAAAGTTCTTCTTTTTCCTTCTTAAGGTTTTCGATTTCTTTCTGGTATTTCTCATCGTATTTTCGAGCTTCCTCTAAACTTTCTTGTAAATATTGTTGCGTATGTTTCATTTCGATAAGTAGTTCCTCTTCTTTTTGTTGGACCAATTGTTTATACTGGTCTCGATCTTCCGCACATTCGTTATATTTTTCCATTAACGCTTGCTGTTCGGGAGGAAAGGTTATTCCAAACTGTAAATTGTCTTTTAGGAGAAAATTCGACCTCTTCCAGGGTTTCCTCTAATTGTATTTTCTCCCAATTAAGGATAGTTATCTGTAATTTTTCCAAATTTAGTACCGGACCGTATTCCCTTTCGTAACAAGCAATGGCTTTTTCTAGACATTCTTTAGCCAAATGGTCTTCCAGTTTATTGCGGCGATAAAAACTTAATACTCTTCCAACTGTGTTAGCTTGTCTTTTTCTTACTACCGATAGGAAGGCCCATTTGCAGTCACGTGAGTAGTAATAATTATATCTGTCTTCATAGGTGTCACTTTCCCATGGCAACACGAACATTTCCGGTCCCCCATATCACGTGGCTTATAATAACCAATGACAATTCGCATTTTTATTCAAAAAACTTCCTACGTAAATATTAGTATGTACATTAATCCCCCAATCATTGTTGTACTCACACTCATTCTCATTATATACGTTGTCTTCCTGTACTTTCTACATCTATCTCATACAAATTAGTTATCGCAATGTCCAGATCATTGTATAATTGCTCAACATTAAAGAGCGATCGCTCGTCTGCAAGGGAGAAGATACCACAGCATTTGAAAGAAGATTTAATGAGTTCAACATCGATATCCTCCCATGGTTGTTTCACCCACGTTGCTACAGCAGAATATGATGGTCGCTTGATTCGCCCTGAACGCGTCATTTCATGTGCTTCATTGATCATCCATTCGTTATACCGATTGCGAAGCTACAGTTAAAGCAATATGAGTGAGGAATTGTATATTGTGTGGGTGAACGAAGAACGGTAAATAACTACTTACTTACTTTTGCCTTAAACGAATGATTTATCATAACGTCTATGGTTGGAGCTTGCTGGTCAGACCGCCAGGAATTACTGCAATATCTATTCCATTTTTTCTATAGGTTTCTTTAACCATATCCGTGAGATGACCTCTAAATGAATCGAGAACCAAAAGCGTGCATTGCAACCCATATGTTATTGATCCATCAGACCATATCTTCCCCATTACACCTACTTTTCTCGTTTACGCGGATGTTAATATCACGAGGAAACTCTTCACGTGGCATGTTTTTAACTTAAATATGCAGGTTGCTGGTAATTTTGTTCCATTCGCTAAACAGCCCAATATCACCGTGAAAGTTGTTCTTTCATGACCGGTAGTTCTGAGACTAACTGTTCTTGTACCACGTTCATCGAGAGTCATCATGCTGGGGAGGTCAAAAGTGACAGATGTTACCAATTGAACTTAGGGGATAGTCATGTTCCCGTCTTTGATACAAAATGTAGCTCAAGAATGTTGTTGTTTCTCAACTGAAGATGCTGTGCAATATTAGTTCTACGTCTGGTGGAAAATTTGTGATGGGACATAAATGTGTCAACCCATTTATTAGAGAAGGCAAACTGATTTATTCCGGGATAGAGTCTCTGGAAAGCCGGTTGTTGAGTCATATTTTTGGCTTTGCGTACGACCATAATTCTCGTCACTGCTCTACCCTTACTCCTATTCTCTTGTATCCAAATTGCCAACTCTTTCTCAAGTTCGGGGAACATTGGTTCTCTTCCGCTATGTAGCTTTTCAATATATGGTGCAACAGCTAATAACAGACTCTTCCGTTCTCCCATTGACGTACTTGTTTGGGTTCGATATTGAATTTTTTGGCGGTACCACGCACACTTTTAGATTGTTCGAGGTAATGAACTGCCATAAGTTTTGTCTATGCAGACCACATTGCTGTGTTAGGCGTGTGCGACGAGTGAACTGGTTTGCACAGACCATGTTGATTCAAAACTCTCAAAACAAGGACGCAGGACACAAGCCTTTTATATAATTTATATGCGCGCTCCCATAACTGTCCAATAACTCTTATCACAAAACAAACACGCAGCACATTTTACAGTATCGCGCGACGTCGTGTATAACAAACTCGTATCGCGACCACAATATTATGTAGGCGTAACAACGCGCATGGTTTGTCATTGTCTTTCCTCCTCCAATGTCTTAATTTCTACAATTATCGTCAGCATTATCATCGTCGTCGAACATATTATTCAAAGATGTAAAAGCGTTATCAGCAACCATGTAGTAGCCCATTATCGCATAACTGCAATGTCCAAGCCATCTTCTGAACTGACTAGCGTTGGATGGTTTATCATACTTATGACTTAGAGTGGTCATATTCTTTTAAGTTTCAGCGTGCGACCCGGAACCCAAAAGGTGCCGAGCGAGTCATTTGTCAACATCGTCCGATTCCTAGTCGGCATAGTTTATGGTTAAGACTACGACGGTATCTGATTGTCTTCGATCCCCTAACTTTCGTTCTTGATTAAATGAAAACATCCTTGGCAAATGCTTTCGCAGTAGTTAGTCTTCTAAATATCAGAGAGTGGAGTGGTCACAGAATAGGGTCGTGGAGTGGTCATAGAATATAGAGTAGAGTGGTCATAGAAGAGATGTGTTATAGAGTGGTCAAGAATGGATGGTTATTAGATGAGTGTCATAGTGTGTTAGATTGATTGTGCAAACCAATAAAAACCTCATAGTATTTGAGAAATATAAATTTGTACCTTACACGGATACACAATACTCTGTCCATAGTACCGGGTCCTTTAGTCAACGCTCTACGGTAAGTTGTTGACTGTGGTGAATTTTGATTGTATGAGGACGTTTATTTTAGAAGTTTCTTATAATAATAGCTTATGTTTTTTGTAGATCATTTTCCTGGGATATCAATGACAACGTTCTGTATTTCTCAATTTGTATGCACCATTATGGAGTACGTCATGAATGTAGTATGGTCCAAGCCTTTGTTCTCTTTTCGATTGGTATATTAATATGTTTTAACACTTTATCTCCTATTTCAAATACTTCTTCTTTAATTTCTTCATCGTATCGTTCTTTATATTTTTTTCTGAGCCATTTTAATATTTCATAGGGCTTCTTCTCTAATCTCGTGCGCTCGTGAAATCGATTCCGTCCGGAAGTAATTGTAGATCAATAGTAATAGGTAAAATAGGGTTTCTATGTCTTGCCGTTCTATAAGCAAATAATACGTCAGGAATATATCGATCCCAGTCGGCTGCATAAATCTTTCTACCGATCCATTTGTGATAAGCTGAAATTATTGAGTGTTGGATTCCTAGTTTCTCATAGACCATTTACTAAGATAATCCATAGCTGTCAATTGCCTCTATATCGTGGGTCCAATGGAGTGGCTCGACAAGATACAATATCTTGAGGGTATACTTACATTTCTGCAGTTAACACCCGCACACTCTCCCCATGCACCATATAGAGTCCAGGGATTACCACATAACTTAGTTTGGGCCATTGCAACAAGGGGGACTACCAGCTTTCACCCCATCTGGCATCTCTAATAGACAGACAGAGCCAGCGCCATGTCACTTACCCTGATTCATGTTGCAGTGTTGTATCATATCAAGAAAATTACTTATTGCTCTCAAGCACGTGGTGGTTCACGCCCACGCCGGACATTCAGCTTTTTCTCTGCTAAGGACCACAACGCAGAAGCCTTGTCACCATTCCAGCAGGGTTCAACACATGCAATTCCGGGAATAGCAAGGTCATAACCAAATGTTTCCACTTCGTTTCCGTTTCATCGAGTCACTCCACTACATGCCTATCGGAACTACTCCCGAGTAGGACCATAGCCCGCATCAGCATGCACTGCCGGCCTTTCGCAGAGTTTTTAGAATCCACTTACGTATCAACTTCCACACAGATTACTTAGTATACTAGACCTTTCCAAACACATGAGTCCTTCGAGTTCTAAATAATATCCAATCAAATCAACACCCTATCTAAGTAGAGGTGAAGCTCCTGGTTCTCTCATGACGATAACATATTCGTGTATAGCTTTATTTTCGAAACCAAAGTCCACACGTACAATGGTTGTCTTTAAGCTTTCGTGACCGTGAATAGTAATAACACTCTACGGCCTTTGCATTAGGCTGTCACTACCAATGGTAAAATTCATGTCAGACCATTTTCTGCGCGCAATCATCGCAATCCAATAAATCAATACCGGAAAGTCGTTGGTTCAGAAGAAAAGGTCAGTGCAACCCACAACATCTAGCTAATAAGTCCAAATGGACTCGCAATCGATGCAACCCGCAACAACTAGCTAATAGGTGCTGGAACACCCACATCAGCGCCGGCATCTGATAGATGACCAACACTGTTCACTTGCCTCACGGACACCAAAAGCGAGACCAAAAGGTACTGTTGACTAAACTCGCGGACACCTCACAAATCGTCCTTAGCTTTCGTTGATGATATTGCCCATACTAATTTACCTCCAGAGGAATAATACGAATTGGCTACACTAAAATATGGTCATTCGATCTAAGTAAACTAACCTAGATACCCTTTCAGGCGTCTGTCGACTATATCTTAAGCGACCGGTTTACAGTTGAATCCGTCTCCGAAGACAACAATATCACCTCAGAGCTTGTCTCAAAAACAAGTTGAATGATACCCGCTCGCCCACTACCATTTAGTCTGTGAACTGCACGCACGGGTTGCCATTTCTGACAGTGAGCCCAGAGCGCTTGGCTGCCGATTATCCATTCCCCCTTTTAGAGGATGCATAGAGAGATTTGTTAAAATCCCAAAATACACATAACCGATTAATGCAAACATCTGGCTTTACGGTACCAGAGAAACATTAAGAGGCTTAAATCCCTTGGCTTATTACCATCCAGTGGCCTGTTAGACCACCTGCTGCACGACCGTTTTCACGCTCACCGCGGTACCTTGGGCTTTAGGAACTTCCGGCAATTTGATAGTGTCGCTTCATCCTAGCAGTTTAAGGAACTTTAAACAGCGGTCATTCTGCACACGGCATGCTTATTTAGTACTATAAATAAAATCCAATCTCCACGCCGTAGCACGCCCACACAATATTTCACTATGTTTTTACCCACTACTACTAGATTTATCTAGAGATTAGCGATACATCAGTTTCTTTAGATCAAACGTTGAACCTCTCGCGCCTAGGTTCGAGATCGCGTTACCTAGTTATCCAGTTAAGTCCCCACGCTTCCCTAGCCTCTCCATGGTTCACAGGGAGGATCAGTTTACCAAGGGACATACCCAGAACACGCTTGTGGCTGACTTCCAGCCAAGTTCATGAAATGGACGATTACATCCTCAACATTTCAAACTAATGTATGGGTCTCTCTGAGTGACACTAGCACTGGTGATACAACCGAAGTCTCCCAGGGACTATTACGCATAGGAGTGATATTGTGCTGTTAAAGACTTGAGATTGAATAGAATTCACGATGTCATAAGCAAATTAGTGATTCCAAATAACATGTTTGATCTGGTTACACCCACAGCCAAACTGTTTGGGCCTAAGTATCAATTGGCTGGTGTGTGGCCATTATTCCACATCTTACACCCAATATCATTAAGGTGAACAGCTAAGGTCCTCGCATGCGCTTGCCACGGTGTTATGTATTACCCTAACTCTCCATCCTGACAAAGTTTGAACAGATCATCCTTACTTACTAGTTTACACTAGCGAAACATTCTCCTTTTAATACCTTAGGCAGGGCTGGTACGACTCCCTAATCTCGAGTTTCCCCGAGTAAGGGCATTCCCCTTGTCTCCCAGCTACTGACCCACCATAGCAACATTTAAACCTTTTGCATGCAAGTGTTTTGATCAGTATAAACGCTTGTAGTCAAGACCCGGAGAGGCATCTTGCTACCTCAGAAATTGCCCAGCCGCTTTACAGCAACCGGGACGGACTCTTTCATGGACGCGTTCTATCCATGCTCCATCCTTTGCGGGGAAGTGGCATGCACTGCACCTAGAACATGTCACCACACGCGAATATTTTCTACATGCGTCGCTTTTTGAAATGGGTACCACTTAGGCCACCAATCCACATGTAGGTGTGCACACCTCAAGGGCCACACACTTGCTCAGTACCGGCTCAACACCGCCCAAGACTTATGGTTAGCTCCATTATAGGCTGGACCGAACCATCAACTTAGCCGTGATCTAAACACACACAATGCATTAGTAAATAAATGAGGATTCTATTTCACTTTATTACTCTGCCCTGTAACCGTTCTTAATGGCTACAGATGCCAAGAATATATCTATTTCCGTTAACTGTCATTGGCAATGGTCCAATAGCATCGATTCCAAATTGTTCGTTGGTTTCTACCAGGTGCAATGGTTGATTTTTTCTTGGGTTTCGAAAAAGAGCAAGCCGAAAGGGAGAAATGATTGAAAGAGTTGGAAAACAAGTCAAAACAAACAAGCTTTTCTTTGGCAAATATTGCACGTTTTGACGTAATTTCTCATATCAGTAATAAAATTAGGCCACCAATATCTTTTTTCTTCCAGGTGGAACTTCTGAGATGTCCACCAAAAGGAGCATCATAAATTGCTCGTAACAAGGCTTCTAATTCTGTTCGTAATATAAGAGTAGTTCTTTCCCATCCTTCCATATTCGTATTAGTCTTCCTTGTCGTAAATTATATCATTTGTTTAAGTTTTTAAATTTCCTCAGTTGTTCGACTGTTCGACTGTTGGATTTTTTGTTTGTTTGTTTGTATTGTATTAATTCCTGATAGTGATAGTATTGTTCGTCCATTTATAATTGGGTAACCGAGATAGTCCATCTACATTTGAATGAATTCTTCCTGGCCGATGTATAATTGTGAGATTGTAATTCCGTAACCCATTCTTCCAGTTCTTCCTTCGGGTTTTGACCATTTATATAGACCATCAAGGGCTGAGTGATCCAATAGATTAATCCATTGCTTGTTTATTGACCGTTGGTCACTTCCTACAATAATAATGACAATAACTTCAGAAGAAAAGTTGGCTTGAGGAGCGCAACGAGAGTGTCAATTGGTGTAACAATTTTTTTGTTGTTATTGGGTCAATGGAGTTGATCCAACAACAAAATTCTCCATTGGTGTAACATTTAGTTTGTTGTCAATAGCAAAAATAAAATAAAGAATGTTGCCATATTAATATCAGGAAATTCAAAATGATAATCTACGATAATGTTTACATGTGGTTTATAGCCTCTTATGTGCATTTTTTATTATCATTATCATCATCGCTCTTTTGTTAGTCTTGTGTTTGGTCATTTTCTTTTCTACTCAAAATGAGTCGAATGCATAGTGGTGGAAAAGCGGTGGACGCCATACGCAAATAAAATAAAATGAAAAACAAGTTGCACAATGTCGAGCTATATGATAAATCAGTGTTACCAACCTCAGTAACAGGCTGTCAAACGCTGAAACTGATAGAGCGTCACACGTCATTCCTTATCGTGTTATCTATACAGTGTCTTTTGATTAGCCGCAACTTCTCCATCGTCGTCGGAGAAAACTCATTTGATAATGGATTCTCTCCTTCAAAATCCAAAAACCAACGTTAGGGAAACTTTTCTAAGAAATCACGATCCCCTCGAATGTTGGGCTTGAATTTAATGCATGATGATGATAATAATAATAACATTAATTAAACGACAAAGCTACATAGCATTACAACAAGTCGTTATATGAATATGGAATCTTAGATACTTATATATAACCTTTCCAAAACTGCCATCCCGCAATCTATTATCCTTTTCGACAAGTTTAAGTGGTCCGTCATTTATTTATCATATTGCTGATAGATACAGTGGTGTTCAAAAAAAATGGCACAAACGAATTTTCTTCTAACTCATTACACATTGCTTCAAATAATATGATTTAAACTTTATTTGAAAGCCTAAAAGGTGCTGTTAATTGATTTATTATTTAATATGGGATGCGA